GCCCACCACGTACAACCTTGTTATATATTGACGCTTCATCTTGCCCGTTTTGATAAATGTTCACAAACATTTCTTCCTCACATCGGTCAGTTCTTGAGAGAGCTGTGTTGTTGTGCTTTTTGTAATTATTGTCGTGTGTGCTGGTTCGGGTGTTGGGACAACATCTGTCTGTGTGTTTGCCCAGACTTGGTGGACTGTACTGGCGTGAGCTGACAACACACTTTTTTTTTTCTCCATTTTTTGGCACAAATTCTTTGATTTGCCAAATCGAAAGCCTAATCAGTTACCCTACTTGTGTGAAAAAATCAAAGTCAGCTGTTTCTAGTTTTTGAATAAGAATTCAAATTTCAAAAGAACGCCTTTTTTAAAAAAGGTAATGCTGACAAAAGGCGTCTTTATCAGAACACTGCTTTGAATTTTTAAAAAAAGGTGTTTTGTCAGCTTACAGTAGTGTACTTGTCACTGACTGGTTGACTGGAACAAGGGGGATAGAGACAGGAGCAAGCCTCTAAGAACTGTCCAAATACGTTATTTGGTCCAGGTGGTTTCATTTCTACAGAGGACAACAGTTATTGCTTTATGTGGCTGTTTTGTGACCTCTCAACCAGGGTATTTTAGTTTCGGTTTTGTCATATGTCTCCATTTCTCATGTTATTTACCTCACAATGATTTATTTCTGTGGGCCAACCTTGCTAAATTATTTCTCTGTGATAATTTATGAAATTTCTTGTCCGAGTGGGGGAAGGGGGGTGGTGGGAGGTAACTGGAGGGCTTCAGTTGTGGAACTCACCAGGGGGATGAAACAGTCACTGTGATTAGCCAATAAGTGTGTACAAACAGTCACTGTGATTGGTCACTGTGATTGGCCAATAAGTGTTTACAAACAGTCACTGTGATTGGCCAATAAGTGTGTACAAACAGTCTGTGACTGGCCAATGGGTGGCTGCTTCCCACGATTTTGGCTGTTGAGATTTATCTCTGCTTATCTTTTGTCAGAGATGGTTGGAGATATTTTGTTTTAGAAAAGGGAAGAGTTGCTTTTCAAAACCAGTTTGTTTTAGTACTTGGGTCTTCTGAATCTTTTATTTCTTATCACTGTTGTTTGTAGCTGAACTTAATTATTTCCCCGCAAGAACCTTGTATGTCACCCCTAGTGGTGATTTTGTGAAGTTGATGAAACAGGCTCACTTTCGCAGTGCTTCTTTGTTTATAAATCACTTGCTTTGTGTAAGTGTAAGCCTCCGCCATACACCATTTTGAAAAGTGCTATATGACAGTCTTACACTTACTTCTGAGCAGTTGAAACGTGAGTTGGTCCAATTTTGTTTTATTGTGGGAATTCTGTATGGTGTGATAATATGCAACTGACCCTCAGGCAGGACCCCCCTCCCCTCCACCCTCCTTTACCTTCCTCTCCTCACACTCCCTCAATCTGCACCTAACCACCTCTAGTTTGCTCTTCCTCCCTTCATCTGCTGTCGGGCTGTGGCACCCCCCAAC